AAATATATTAATAAACATTAATAAAGAACAGTATTACAACATTATATACATATGTGTGTGTGTGCGTGTGTGGAAAGATTGCAATTTGTATGCATTATTTTTGCTCATGGAAACAGACATATTAATTTTATAAATATATAAAATTGTATCAGATTTATTAAATTATTCAGATATCAGGAATCTTCCTGATTTTTTTTTTCTTACATTAAACTTATATAACTATTTATAATTTAATCTCAATTATAAATAGAATATAAAATACAAATATTTTGTATTTATTTCTTATAATCTATTTAATTATTTTTACATTTTATTTAGTTTGTTATCATAAATATTTGCGTAGTAAAACTATTCTACTTATAAATATATTTATTCTTTTCTCATACTATATTGAATGTACATATTAAATGTAAATCTTTGTGCATACTCTATGATAATATATTATATACATATTAAAGAGTGCGTATTATCCCCATTTGCGCGCTGTAAAGAGATAAATGCAATGAGATTTCATGCGACTCTAGCAAGCGAACGAGCATGGGTGAATTTAAAACAGTCGTAAATGTGACGCGCATATGTGAGCTCAACGTGTGTGGTAAACGTAGAAAAATTATTACTTTTAAAGGTACGCCGTTTTATTTTTTATGAACATTATGTAAGAAGAAAAAGATTTATAAATAATAATATATTATTATTCTAAATAATAATTATATATTATTATTTAGTAACAAATAAAATTTTAACTTTTTTTCGTAATATATAATACATCTAATCTATCAATCTCTACAAGAAATTATAAATATTATTTATAATTTTATTTATAATTACATATACTGTGGTAGAATAAAAAAATAATATAAATTTATATATATCAAATAATAAATTAAATAAAATTTAAACAAAAAAACATATATATTTTTTAAAAGAGATATAGTTTTTTCTCATTTTTTTTATTTTATTTGAAAAAGAGAGAGAAAAAGAGAGAGAAACAGTTCTTAAAAATAACAGTTTTTAATATAGAATTTTATTAGAATATACAAATGGAAAGATGATCGTTGTCCATGAAACTACAAATCAAAACATAACAAGACATAATGAACAAAACATAATATAATTTATAAAATTATTTTGTTATACCATACATCATTGCATTTGTTACAAAGAGGAAAACCTACTTTTATTCACGCTACCAAAAAAGCATATTTTCTTATTCTTGAACATAAATAACTTTTATAATCAGTGTGTTTATGATAGAACGTAGTCCGAACCATTTAATTTAGTATTATATTATTAAATCTATCTAGTTAGTTTACGAAATGAAAGATGATAGTTATTCATATGAGAACACTCTGGGCGCACGCATTTGTGTATATGTGTGTCTCATACAATTACAACATTCTGTTACAGATTTCATTGCAAATTCTGAATGTATGAAATGGTTTTAAAATTTTCATATATCAAAATCAAATTTTGGTATATTAATTAGTTTTGATGCATCATATTAAGGTTATTCTGATCAATTATTAAACAATATGATATAATAAGCGCATGTAATAATATTTAACAATACATTAATATAAGCTGAGTATGTGTTAATAAATACCTGAAAGGAATTACAATCAATAATAATTTATTAAATTAAATAAAATAAAATGTATTTCAATATATTTATCGTCTATATTCTTATAAATTATTGCATTTCTTCTTATTTGTAAAATTAATCTTTTCGCAAATTAGATTCAATATTCATTATTTTCACAAATTTGCCCTTACAAACTTTTGAAAATAATAGTATCTTAATTGTTCAAGTACATTTATTTATTATTTTAATGAAACAAATTATTGTGTTTCAATATAATAATATGTGTATATACTTGTGTGCATTTTAATGCAGGTGTATCACAAGATTTTATACATCAGAGTTTGTAAAGAAGATACATAATTCAAAAAAATTTATGCAATTAGCAATATGCAAATATATAGAAAAATAATTACATGTTTTTTCTATATTAATCAATTTGTCTTATTATTCAGTATATAAGAGTATTAAGGTACGGTTATTGAAAAATGAATAGTTACAAGATATTTTATATTTTATATCAGAATAAAGTATTAGTATAAAATATCTTGTGAATTATTGATTTTTTTCACTATATTTAATATTATTATACCAGGACAATAAAGTTCAGAATAAATAAAGAAGTCATGTAACAAAAAGTATATGATTCCATTAAAGAATGAAATTCATAAAAAATATCGATATACCATAGCTTCATGTGTGAATGAATTAATATCATAATCATATGGCTTCCTTGAAAAATCGTATTTTGTCTTAAATTTTTCCTGAAAATCCTTTATTTTCAAAATAATTGTCTGCATTACTTTATACATACAAATACAATAACAATATTATAGACTTTATTGATGATTCCATAATAAGTTGACATTAATTTTTGATATCGCATTTTTTATAAAAGATTCTTTTTCTAATGTGGAATTCATTCAATACTTGGCATTTTTTTTATCTTCTTTTAAATTTTTGTACAACATTTTTAGAAGATTTCTTTTCAATGAAGATATTAATATTTTGAAAAGAGTCTGAAATATATAAAAATTATATATATAGATGTCTCGAAATTCGTAAAGCATGGCATATATATTTTGCAATGAGTCTTTATCATATTCTTGAAATATCATAGTCTTGAAATTTATATATACTCAGTCAAGACGCTTTCTAAATATGAAAAAATATAGAGCTATCTATATACAAAAATGAAAATATATCATTGACTACGGCGACGACGACGATTACGATGACAACGACGATAATAATAACGTTTCTTAAATTTCCGAATTTGTCCCAATATCTTTGCTTTCAAGGAAAGATAATTTTCTTATACGGTAAATATTTTGATAATATCATTATGATACGAGTTTAATTACATTGCAATTTCTCCGTAGGAGGAAGTAGAATTTTCAAAGTTATAACCTTGTATACTACAAACTGAATTTAAATGGTAAGATGTTTAAATCAAGGTTGGGAAAGTTATTTTTTAAAAATAATTAGTTACTGTTACTCATTATCGTATCAAGAAAATTACCGTTATTAATTCTGAATAATAACTCATTATTTGTATTATTATTTAAAAAAGAACGATTAGTTATTTTCTCCGTTACTTTTTTAATACTGAAATGAGATCAGATTAAATAAAAATTAATTTTTCTCATTATTTTTTGTTAATTTATCAGTAAAAAAATAAAACTTTTTATCTTAAATTTGTAAAATTACAAAAAAATTTAAGAAAATTTTAAAACTCAAAATACAAATAAAAAAATTGTAGTTTTCATTAAATTCATAAAAACAGCCAAATTATATTTTTCTTTAATCCTCAATTCTCTGTTTACAAATTTTTAAAAGATGGTATTTATTGGTATTAAAATTGGTTGTGATTGATTTATGATTGGTTTATAATAAATTATTCTTAAGACGGCTTTAAATATAAATATCAACAGATAAATATCGATTGAAAATTGAATATTGAATATATAAAAATTATATCTTAGATTTAGATTTAAAATCATAGACATAGAAATACAAGGATTGAGCATATCACTGTAGGCATGTCACTGCGAGACAGTGCGACGAGAAAAAGTGTGCCTAAATCTGATTGGTTGTTATCGTGCGCAATTATTAATTGTAATATATTGATATACACATAAATATACAGAGCGTCCCAAAAAAATGGCCAAGCGATCATATGCAGGTAGAGCAGATTAAACTGAGTCAAAAAGTCCTATACTATTTTCGCAAGTTAACGATTTATTAATTTATGAAAATAATCAAATTGCAAGCGCGCGGTGAGATAAAATCACCCAGTGAGATACGCATTCGCCGTTGCTAGGTACACGTGGAGCATACTAGGCGCACGTAACATACGTAGATGAAAGCGTAGCCAATGCCGCTTGCAATTAACAATTCCGTTAATTGTAATCCGTTAATTGCACTCACGCGTGCCTAGCGACGGCGAACACGTGTCTCACTGAACGATCCTATTTCATCGCGCGTTTGCAATTTGACTATTTTCATAAATTAATAACTTATTAACTATTGCGAAAATCACAAAATAGTACAGGACTTTTCGATTCAGTTTAGTCTGTTTTTCCTGCATATGACCGCTTGATCATTTTTTTGGAGACACTCTGTATGAAATTGTATGTGAGAGAAACTGACAACAATTTTAACCTTTAAATATTAATATTTCATAATTGTCAGTGGGCTTTCGTTTCCGGTAGTTTTGGTTGTCAGTGGAGAATTTTTGTAAGAGTGAGTGGAGTGAGCGTTCTGTGTAACGGCGTGAAGGAGAGAGTGGGCAAGTGGGGGGGGGGAGAGGGGGGAAGAGTGGAGGAAAGGTTAAGGAATTGGAGGGAGGGTGGAGCGAAGAGGAGGAGAATAGGGAGAGAGGTTGGAAGGGACAGAAGGGAGTAAGGTTAGAAGCTGAATTAGGCGGGAAACGATACAGAGGAAAGATAGACATAGAGTTGATAGAGAGATAGAGAGGCACGGTAGTGGAGACGGTGACGCTGAGGTAGACGTTGAGCATAGAATAAGCAGGAAATAGAAAGAAAGTAATGAACAGAGCGAGAAGAAAATGCTATGACAGTACAGGAGAAAGTATAGAGGAGCAGGCTAAAAGAGAGAATTATTAGGAGAAGATTTAGTAGACGAGGAGAGAGAAGAGGAAGTTTTTAAGAAGAATAAAATGATGCTAAGATCGCCGCAGAGAGAGGAAGGGAAGGAAGAGATGATAGGGATGCTGAGGAAAATGACGGATGAGATGAAAGAAGAGCTGAGAGGAATAAGATAGGAGATAAATAATAGATAGCGGAGGAACAGAAAGAGGTAATGAGAATAGAGGTGGAAAAGATAAAAAATGAGTTAAGGATAAGGGAAGAGAAATGGAGAAAGAAAAAGGAAGAAATGAAAGAAAGGATAGAGAGGATAGAAAAGAAACTGAAGAGGATGAAAATAGAGAGTAAGGTTGAGGAGGAGAATAAGGTAGGTAAGAGAATAAGGGAGAGTGCAGAAGTAGTAGAAGGAAAGAGAAATATGGAGATTGATGAATGGAAAGAAAGAGTAAGGAAACTGGAAAGAAGATGGGAGACGAAGGAGAGAGAGGATAGGAGAAGAAACATACTAATAAGAGGATTAAAGAAGAGAGAACGGGAGAAAAAAATTATAGAGGAGCTACTTTGGAAAATAGAAAGGGAAGTGGAAATGAAAGAAATAAGGAAAATAGAACGGGGCAGGAGAGAGAAGGGAGACATGGTAATAGTAAAAATGAGAAATGAAGTGATGAAAAGAAAGATATTGACAAATAAATAAAAGTTAAAAGTGGGAGAGACGTGGATAGAAGAAAACTTGATATGGGAAGAGAGGAGGATTAAATGAAAATTAGGCAGGCAGCATTAAAGGAGAGGGCAAAAAGAAGAAGAATACGTTAAGGGAGGGGGAAATATGGATAGATGAAATATGGTGGAGATGGGATAATGATAAAGAAGAGTTAAGGAATGACAGGGGAACAGGGACAGTTGGGATGCGGAGAAGGAAATAACAGGAGAAGAGGAAGAGACAGTGAGAGAGGAAGAATCACAGAGACAGGGAGAATAGGAAGAAGGGGGGGACAAAAGAGAGAGGGAAGGCAGGAGGGGAGAAGGAGAGGAAGGATAGGGAGAAGTCGGGAGGAGGAAGAGTGGAAGAAAAATAGAGGAGAGAAAAAGAAAGGAAAGAAGGACAGCTTGTGCGAGAGGGAAGAGGATAGGAAGGAAGGCATGAGAATTGGATTCTGGAATGTTACAGAATTAACAAATAAGGATAAAGATTTTTGGAAAAATTTGGAAAAATGGGAGGTAATAATAATGATAGAAACATGTATGGAGGAAAAAAGTGGGAAAGCATTAAGGAGAAACTACCGAAAGGATATAAATGGAAGGTATAGGGGGCAAAAAGGAAAAAGAAAAAAGGGAGGACGATGAGAGGTATAATTTTAGGAATTGAGAAAGAATTAATGGAGGAGAAAAAAAACGAGAGAGAGGAAGAGGAAGGAATTATATGGAGTAGGATGAAATATGGAAAGAATAGTTTAAGGATGTGGGAATATATGTAAATGGAGATTTGGAAAATAAATTAAAGAAATTGAAAGAATGGATGAAGAGAAGAACAATAATAGGAAGGAACTTTAATGCGAGGACAGGGAAGGAGGGTGGAAAAATAAGTATAAACGGGGAAGAGACAAGAAGAAGATCTAAAGAGGATAAATAGAGAGGGCAAGAAATTAATTGAATATATAAATGAAAACGGATGGTCAATTTTAAATGGAAGAATAAGAGGAGATGAAGAAGGGAATTGGATATACACGGGCAGCAGAGGGGAATCAGTGATTGATTATGTTATAGTGAATGAAGAGATAAGAGAAGAGATAAAAAGATTAGAAATAGGCGATCAAGTGGACTCGGACCATCATCCGATATCGATATGGATGAAAGAAGGGGGAAGAAGAGGGAGAGGAGGAAAAGATAAGAAAATATGTAGAGGAATATGGGATGAGGAGGGGAGAGAAATATTTAGGGAAGAACCTAGAGAAGTGGAAGTTATGGAAGGAGGAGTGCAACAGATAATAAGAGGAATGGGAGTTAGAGTAAAAGAAACGCTAGAAAAAATAGAAAAGGAAAGGAGAGAAGAAAAAAGATAAAGAGAGGATGGTGGGAGGTATAGGGCAAAGAAA